TTCAGGGCTGCGAGTTACCAGTGACCCTGGACACGGGGCTTCCACACCAGTTTTGGAGCCCAGCTTCCCTCCTGACGTTTAATTATTAGTTTAACCAGGTAAATAGACTCCGGTGTCACAAACAGACCTCTCATTTGTGATTTCCCTCTCCCCTAAAGCCAGCTAGGCCACACAAAAGAAAAGCGAGCCATGCATTAAGTCATATTAGTGTTTACTAACCCAGACTGGGTCTTTGAAGCCTGGCGCTTCAATCCTTACTCATAACTTAAGACAACTCACTCGTTATTCACAAGCCGGTTTTCCATCCGTAACTCACAGAGAAGCAAAACCCTCCCCATTTCACAGCCATTTCGAAGATTTAATTAGATAGCAATTAGATAACACAGATCTAGAGGCCCCACGGAGTTCTGCTGCACCAGCATTAACACCGCTGTGCCTGCAGGACTCCTGGGGTAGGCGAAGCTGCCGGAGCGGAGGGCATCTGCTTGGCATACGGCCACTCGGGGCGGGGGGGCACATACCCAAGGAGCTGCTCCTTTTTCTGGCAAGCACTGGGTAATTCTGATGACACAGAAACTAAAAGACAAACAGAAGCCACGTTAAAGACCCCAAAAAACCCTCTTGAGAATCTGTTTTACAGCTACCTGACTGACTGAACCAAAAGGTCTGTGTCAGGTTTTGGGGGGTTTTCTCTGTACCTATTAAGATTTTAGTGCAGCAGATCTGCAAAAGCTAAATGAGGTGACTTTGTAACTAGGAAGCCACAGCACCTCCGGTCAGCCCAGAACCCCCTTCTTGCCGAGAACCGCCTTCTTTAAGGCCTCAAGTAGAAGTTCACAGCCCAACACCAAAACCCACACACGCAACAATGGACGAGTACTGAAACTGTGATGCCCTTTCTGTCCTAACGAACACCCTCTGGGTGGAATATTAAAAAAACTACACACCGAGAAGCAGGCAACACATCTCAGAAGCCCACCGTGGATCTCCTGCTACATCACTACTGCTTCCTCAGAGATGTGCTGGAGGGTCTAAAAAAAAAACCAAACAACTCCTTGGGTTCTCAACTGCGTAAGGTATTAGGAGAAGAGTATGTGTTTAAAGCTGCTCCTTGGCGTCTCCTATGGTTTTTTGCATGTTCCTCTTGAGTACTGACCACGACTGTCACGTTCTCACGCCTTTACGCTGGGATCCATCTCGTGCCACCTCAGACCCACGCCAAATAAGATATAGGTGGAAGAAGAAAATAAAGGGAATTCCTTAAAAAAAAAAAAAACCCAAACCAGAACACAATGCGACGGCAGGACCAGGCCAGCTCACGCACTTTTCCTGCGCACGATTTTTCCTCTCGCACCTTCGACGGAAGACCCATCTCGTTCGGGCAGTTCCCAGGCTCCCCTGCTCAACGACTGCAGCAGGGTTTGAGGCGCAGAGAACGGCAGGTGCACCCGAAATCTCTTTCAACTGCTAACCAGCGAGTCAGCCACGCTGCCTGCTCTACAGCTCAGCCTCTTCCTGCCCTCTCTTCCTCTTTTCTCCACCTGCCTACCTCCGGTAGCTTCGATTTCTGTAGCAGCACGGAGAGCCTGCAGTCCCTGACTGCACCGGCATCCATCCGGACCACGAAAAACGCTGGACAAGACGAGTTGGGCTCTCCTCTGCTCCACCCCGCTTAGCTTTTTGCTTCCTGCAGCCATCACCGGCAGCAGCAGAGGGTCTCCTTCCTGACGGGCAGGGTTTGAAAATGACCTTTCTAAACCACGACGGATGCCAGAAGGCAGCTCCCGTCTCTTCTCTTACGCGAGGAGAGCTCCTGCTGCAGACAGCTCGCTTTTCTTGTTGCTCCAACTGCTTCTGCAGACACCCAAAGCCCCGACAACTGCAAAAGCAGCTGCAAGCGTGGCGGCGGCTCCTCGAGAAATCTCTGCTCAGCGGCACAAGCACCACCGAGTTTACGAACACAAATTTTCAGCAGTTTGGACTGGAAAAGGATGTGAGAAAGGACAGGTGACGGAGATTTTTCCTTCTAAGGGCTTTAAAAGAACACCTAAAAGGTACCAGCTGAAAGGACAAAGAGGAAAGACAGCCGATGGCTGGGATTTGAGCAGCCCTACAATTTTAAACCATTACTCAAGGCCACAGCTATCATCAGCTCCCGAGACGCAAGCTGTGTCCCTTCATGGAACGATTTAACAAGCGCCGGAATTAACTCTGCCGCCCGGCGTAAGGCTTCCTATGATTGCCGTCTCAAGGCATTGG